AGGAGAAGACCTGGATTGGTGAGTACCAAGATGATTAGATTTCCAGTTCTGGAGCGCTCTCCTCTCTCCATAACTGTCACTCTTGCTCCTTGCTCTGAAGCAGATTGTGGCTGGAGTCAGTCAGTCATGATGAGAAAGTGGGAAAAGTGTTGATGTTGTTGAAGTTGTACATATAGGTTTTTTGAGAGGAAGGCTATGAAGGTGAATTATGCACTTGGCTTCTGAGGTCTTTTTTCACTTTCTTCTGTGAGTACTCTTGGTAGTTATGGCCACTAAGCCGGTGAGCAGACTTCATTAGGAGCCCCCATTTTGCACGTACCTCTAGCTGAAATGCTAGGACAGCTAGATCAGGAGGCAGAAGTCCTACTGCAAAGAGAAGTGAGTCGGGAGATGTGGATTCTAATTAAGGAACGAGTGAGAGTCATGTGTCCAAAGGGTAGGGCTTCTGTCCTGATTCTTTTTTTTTATAGCTGTAATGTCTTAGCGAAGTGACTTCACCACTTTTTGACTCTGTTTACTCATTTAGAATAAAAAGAGCTCATTTTAATTGCGTATAGTGTACGTGCCAGGCACTGAGTTACTATTTATACATCAGCTCACTTAATACTCACCACTTTAGCATGTGGACAGACTATGTTCATTTAACAGATGAGTCCACTGAGGCGCAGTGAGAACTAGCTGTCTCTTTCCCAGCAGAGGAGCTCGGATCAGAACTAGCACATGTGCCTTTAACTCTCTGATAAACTAAGAACCATCCATATATCTAGGCCTTGGGGTTTCTTCTAGGGTAACAGCATGGTCCATGTGTTGCTCTAGCACACAGTAGCACTTGACAAAGAATGGTGACTATGGTGGTGGTTTCTTGCCTGCCATTTCTCTGAACTATAGGAAAGCAGTATCTACACCTATTTTGCTGACTTGTATGGGGCGGGGAAGCAATGCTATTGCAGCTGAAACCACTGCACAGGACTGTTTCAAGAAAACCTGGAAGGCGGACCAGCAGATAGTGTAATGGCTATGTCGCTGGACTCCCATGTTGTCGACCGCGGTTTGCCTCCTGAACCCGGTGGCTTAACATTCACACCGGGCACGTGTGCGTGTGTGCCCAAGATCCCAAGAGGAGAATGGAGGAGAAGGGATTGTGATGTGGCCGTGCCCCTGGGGGATGATTTCTCGCTATCTCTCTGTCTCTCTCTGTCTGTCTGGTGAGTGCATGCACCTTATAGTAAAAACCTCTCAAAAAAAAAAAAAAAAAAAAAGAATACCTGGGAGGTCAGGAAGCATTTGAATTAAAATATCACCATGACATGAGGAGAGAAGTGAGCTAAGCTAAGCTCTCAAAAGCAGATTCTTTTTTTTTTTTTCTTTTTCTTTTTTATAAAAAAGCAGATTCTTCTTAGACATGTTGGCACCTTTCAAAGAGGATGAGCAGGCCTTGGCAAGCTGCAGGGGAGGAGTTGCCGACCAAGAGCTTTGCTGGGGGAAGCAAGAGTGGTAGAGAAACACGGCCCCCAAAGATGCTACTTTGGTGCTTGGCTTTGTCCATCTTAGGTTCAGGTCAGAAATCAGAACCACTACCATCTATAAAACTCTGCAGCGGCCCACAGCCACCGAGTGGTTTCCAGGCATCTCAGCATTTGCTTTTTACAGCCATCCCCTTAAGGGAATCCAAACTCCATTCCCATTTTACAGATGAAGAAAATGAGGTAAGAGAAACCAATGATTTGCTTAGTTCACAGAGTCAGGAGATCCTTTTTAGAGTGTCTCTTTCCACCATGCTGCACTTGGGAGGAGCCCGCTAAGCAATGAGATTAACCCTTGTAGAGGTTGGAAAGCACATGTCATGGCCATCCCTGTGTTGCTGTTATCTCACGACACTCCCGGATATAGTGGGCTCCTTTGAAGTACTTAATTCACCGGTCCTTCAACCATCAAAAACACCTGTTTAAACCTTAGTACAAGATACTGTGTAATTATTTGCCTGCCACGATAAACACCTTTTCTAGGAAAAGCCATTCTTCCTATAGAGCTCAGACCAACAACTGTCGATATGGAGCAAACAGTAAAATAATATGTTACATTTTTCAGTTTTGAACACAAAGATCCTTAGTCCCACCTTTACGAAACTACTCCTGTTGCCAAATGGACTGTTTTTCTTTTAAAGGTTGGAAAGAATTCTGCTAGTTTCCCTTCCCCCTCCCCAAATTCAAACTGTTGATTGTGCGCCTGGTTTATGATGTTATTAAAAAACAAAGAGGGGTCTCAAAATTTACAGCCAACCCCCAGAGTGGGCAAGTCAAAAGAAAAACTTCATGAAATGTGGTTCATGAAACATCAGCAGCTTATATTTGATCCAGAACAGGCGAGATAAGTTCATTGCCTCTCATACCTGAGTTAGTTAGGTTAGGTATCTTGAAATATAAGTCTGCAAGATAGAAAGGGGCTTTGAAATGACCAGGCACATGCTTGAACCCCAACATTAAAAAAAAAACTATTTAATTTTATGTATTATTATTTTTTAATTTTCTAAAAGGCACATACACAGAGAGAAATAGAAAGAGAAAGTAAGAAAGCATGCTTCCAGGTCTGAGACTCACAGTGTGGTTGGCCATGTGAGAGTCCAGCACCCCACTGTGCTACCTACTAGGCCTACACCCCAATTTCTACTAGTTGTAGATACTGACTACATAATTTAACCTCTCTAAGCTTCAGATTTTACATCTGTACAATGGAGACAATAGCACTTAATTCATATTTAGTGTTCTTAATATAAACTACCTTCCTTCCTAACTTTCTAATATAGGCTACAGATACATTTCTAGGCTATGCTCAACAGAAAGGCAACTTGAGGATCTATAAAAGAAAATTTATGATCCTGCTGGACATGAAAACCAGCCTTCACCGACATGGCTGGTGTTCGAGGGCAAACAGCAGACTTAGAAAATAGTGGAGGTGTGGAATGGATAGCTGTGAAAATGCAGAGCTCAAAAATGACAAGACTGGATTTCAGTTACCCTCCCTATTCTCAGCCCAAATGGACACCTCTAAAACAGAGTGGTAACCCTCTAAGTAGGGCTCAGGTAGGTCATTCCACAATTCCCACAAGACTATCATTGTTCAAAATAATCCTGGACCTTATCAAAGGCTGCGACATTATTTTGCAATATCCAGAGTCACCCTTTCAGGGAAGACCTGGTCATGCAAATCTGGACTTCAGCATGTGAGTAAGCTGCTCAGCAACTAAGGGTTTGCAAGATATTTCAATATTCATAATGTCTTTTACTCCTTATTCCCATGCTGTGAAGCAAGACGGTCATCCTTGATTTTAAAGGTGTACAGTTTGAGAGACAGCAGGTGGCATGGTGATTAAGGTGTTGGACTCCCATATGGTTGATTGTGGTTTGTCTCAGACCCACCACTTGAAAATCACACTGGGCACATGTATGTGTGTGCCCAAACTCCAGAGAAAGAATGGAGGAAAAGGGATCACACCCCAAGGGGTGTGTGTGTGTGTGACTTCTCACTTTCCCTCTCATTACCTCTTTTTCTTTCTCTGGCAAGTGCACATGCCCTATGGCAAAAAAAAAAAAAAAAAAAAAAAAAAAAAAAAAAAAAACAACAACAACAAAAAAAAACCTTATGAAAACGAAAAAAGATATACAGTTGGTTAATGGAGGGCCAGGTCTAGAACCTATTTCCCTGGATTCTGAGTCCTGTTTACTTTTGCACTACCGTCACTGGGCAAGAGAACTCAACAATATGCCAGAGAATATCGGTGGCATTATCATTGCTACATCAGGACAGTGATGGTGTGGAGAGAACAAAGAAAGTACTTGTGATAGCAAACGAAGTACTGCTTGCTCAACTTTTAGGATGGTGGAGCTCAACTTTTAGAATGGTGGTTCAGAGTTCAGTCTCTGGTGCAAAAGATAAGTAGGTTCAAATCTCAGTTCTTCAACTTATTAACCCATTGATCTTGGGCAAGTTATTTTCTTCCTGTGGATCTCAGTTTCCTAAATTTATAGCTGAAAGGTAAAGAATGTGTAGACTTTGTTGGATCGTTGGAAAGATAATGTATGTAGAACATCTGAGAAGGATGCTTAGCATGTATTTGTCTCAATAAATGTTGGCTTTATTAATAGTACTAACTGCACTAAATACATAGTATTCATTAAATGAACTCCTACTTTTAAAGAAGTTTTTGCTGGCTTTGTTGGCTTCTCCTTGGTACAGGTCTCTGTGAACTCAGACATTCTATATTATACAGGAAGAAGTCAGACAGGATCAAGCATGGCAGATTCTGGTCACTTACCGCAAGAATGGCAATGACGATCCCCACAGCACAGAGCACAGCGTCATTTATCGTCTCACCAATTTTCAGTGGGTACTTGATGCTCTCATCATTGCAGTAAAATCCTCGGTGGTAAGGCTTAATGGTGCTCGTCTCGATGATGAGGAAGGGCAGACCCGCTGGTCAAGGCAGAAGCATGGCGTAGACCAGAAGAAGACAAGGGAAGGGGAAAACATCAATGCAAAGAAGCCAAAGAGGAACAACCTACAATTAAGACCATCACACATAACACCCAGAGAGATATCATCTCCATTCATTTGTAGTGATCTATAGCCTTCAGGGAGCCTTCACTACATGCATTCCCTTTCCTCCTGTCATCATCTCTACGAGGACGGTGGTATCATCTTCTTCTCCCTAAGTGCTCAGAGGAGGCAGTACGAGAGTCAGGCAGTGGCTTTTCCACTGCTCTACAACACCCTGCTAATATCAAAGAGCCCAGTTCATAATAATTCCTACTACAGCCCCAAGCTAGTGGTTCCCTATTACACTCCCAAAGGCATGTATTTCTTAGATCTTAATCATTTTCTCTTTGCAAAGCTCATCCATCTGCCCTAAGGCAGAGTGTAGGCCTTGGAGTCAGATAACCTGGATTAGAATCCCAGATTCACCAATTTGCGAGACTTCTGGTTCTCCTCTCTCTCTCTCTCTCTCTAAGCCTCAGTTTCCCCATAGGAAATGAGTTACGCTGATGACTAGTGGAGATCAAAGCACAGGAAAGCTCTAGCACAGTGCCTGGCACACGGCAGCTGCTCAATGAATGCCGTTTTCAAGCCTTTCCTTTCACTGTTCAAAGAGTCACCAACAAGAACGAGAAGAGTTGAGCTCAGCCCTGCTGCCAGCAAACCTGGACAGGAGCCCAAGGGCACCCAGGATCACCAGGCGGCTCTTGCAGCTGCTTCTGGTTATCAGGAGCCAGCTCAGATGCCATTCTCTCAAAGGTCATGAATTCCATCACCTGCCAGGAAAAGTTTTACCTCCAAAACCCTGAAGCAAAAAGCAAAGAGTTCTGCTTGCTTGACACTCTTGCCTGGAAACTGCAATAGCCTCCTAATCGATCTCCTGGCCTCCACTGCCTCCTCCATATCTCCCTCAGTTTACTTCCTGAAGGATTCTGACCCTAAGCATGTCACTACCTTGCTAATACCTCCTCAGTGGCTCCCATTGTAAGGGTACCATAAAGTCCATATGCATGACCTTGGGAACTCCCCATGACAGACCCCCCCCCCCCCCCCTCCAAATTTGATGCCACCCTCCAG